TCCACGACGCCCTGACCCCCCTCCCCACATCAGCAGCCCGGGGCCTCTGCATGTGCCTCCTGCATGTCAAACAGGTACTGGCCTCAGGGCCTTTGCTAACCCCGGACCCCAGTGCTGTTTATGTGCAGATCTCTGTTTTAATGACCTCTCTGTGGCAAGGCCTTCCCGGAATAAATTATCACTGATAATCATGATGATGACGGTGATGATGATGCTGCTGCTGCTGCTGCTGCTGCTGCTGCTGATGTAATGATGGTGATGATGATGATGATGGTGATGATGATGATGATGCTGCTGCTGCTGCTGCTGATGTAATGATGATGATGATGATGATGGTGATGATGGTGATGATGATGTAATGATGATGATGATGATGGTGATGATGATGATGATGATGATGTAATGATGATGGTGATGGTGATGATGATGATGATGATGATGGTGATGATGGTGATGATGATGATGATGTAATGATGATGATGGTGATGATGATGATGATGATGATGTAATGATGATGGTGATGGTGATGATGATGATGATGGTGATGATGGTGATGATGATGTAATGATGATGGTGATGGTGATGGTGATAATGGTGATGATGATGAGCATATCTGACACTGTGTTGGTCTTCTCTCTCTGTGGCTATCACAGAATTCCCGAGGCTGGTTAGTTTATGTCTGGCTCATGGTTCTGGACATTGGACAGTCCTAGAGGCCACCCTGGTGGCATCTGGTGAGTCTGCTGTAGCATGGCAGAAGATAAACTGGTGAGCGAGGGTGTCCAAAAGAGATGAAACACGAGGCCGGCCTGTTCTCTAGGCCCCCGATCTCCAGTCGCCAGAGAGCTGGCCTCCTGCCCGCAGATGCCCCCCCAGTTCCTCTGGAAGGCCCAGTCCCCCGGGAATGTCCATCAGTGTTCTCCATGAGTTCCGTTCAGCCCTCCCTCCGTGGGCCCCGAGACGGCTCTGTACCTGTGACCCTTGGGGACACAGGCCACGCGCGCTCCAGGTCGGGCAGCTGCCTTGCTGAGCGAAGCCAACAGGCATTGAGCCCCGCCGGGCGGCTGCGTTCTTTAATCCCATTTGGGATAGAACAGCTCCAAGCAGGAGGTTGTGACCTGCGGCCCTGGGAAAGCCACCAACATGTCTGGGGCCTGGCAGAGTCCCAGGAGCCCGGGCCAGCCCCGCCCTGCTCCAGCCAGCCCTCCAGACAGCCTAGGGTTGACTTTCCCTGGAGAAGCGGTGGAGTGGGAGAGGGAGGGAGGCCGGAGGGGTGGGGAGACAGCCCAGGCTATTTGGAGTGGTGAGGAGCTGGCTGGCAGCCAGGAAACCGGGCCAGCAGCCCAAGGACCAAGCCTGATTGGGGAAGGGAGGAAAGGTGAGGATGGGGGACCCAGGACAAGGGGGCAGCACCTGCCCCAGTGCACCCCAGCAACGGGCTGCATCCACCCACAGGGCAGGTTCCCCGTCCCCTCCCCCAAGATGCCCCAGGCTAAGGGGGTGGGGGGGCCAGGTCCTGGGTTCAAGGCTCTGCTCGAGTCCTGGAATAGCTATGTCACTATTTGTGCATATGTGCAGGTACTGGGGCTTGAACTCAGGACCTGGCACTGTCCCTCAGCTTTTCCACTTGAGCCACAGCTCTACTTCTGGCCTTGTAGGTGGTTCGTGGGAAATAAGAGTCTCCCAGACTTGCCTGCCTGGGCTGGCTGCGAACCTCCATTCTCAGATCTCAGCCTCCTGAGTAGCCAGGACGACAGACGTGAGCCCCTGGACCCGGCTGCCGCGCTACCTTCCACACTACTCTTGCTTTCCGCCCCTCTCTGAAGTAGGGGCTTGACCGTCGGCCTTGGCCCTGGAGACTCCTGTTAGCACCCACATCTCACACACCCCAGTCTTCCTCTGTGTGAACCCCAGGTGCACCTCTGTTCCTTGCAGCAAGCCAGAGCTCTGCACGTCTTGTTCTGCGTAACACCTTCCCGCCTGGCTCCCCTCCATCCTTCTAGACCCAGCGCAATGTCGCCTCCTCCCAGAGGCCTGCCACTGTCCCAGCCGTCATCAATCCCCCATCCCTCCCCCCTCTTCCCCCTCCTCCCTGCCTTATGTTTCTCCTTCCCTATCACCACCCCTGAATTAGGTGGTAAATGTCTCCCGGCCCCAGGGGCGGTTCTGGGCCGACCTGGGCTCCATTTGTTTGTTCCTGGGCACCGGGCCCTGGCCTATGGGAAGGGCCACCAAAGATCTGTGGGAAGAGTTCATGAATAACCAGAAAACAAGCTTCTCTCCCAAGAACTGATTGGATCTTGCTGCCTGGCGCAGAGAAACGAGGCTCCGTGTGAATGAATGAGGGGTATGCGTGCTCATGTTTGAAGAATGAAGAAATGATTGAGTTGCCTGTGTGGCTCCCTCTCACCAAAGGTGTTACAATGGGAGAAAGGAAGGAAAGGTGGGAAATCTGTTACTCTGCCCCCCCTGCCCCTCCTATGACCCCCCAGGGTCTCCCCGCCTCCCTGCAGGACTCTGCGGCTGAGCCCAGAGAACCGCTCTGGGCAGGGAAGTCATAAGATGCAGGAAATGAAGGCTGAGAACAACGTACCCCCTCCTCAGCCTCCATGCAGGGACCAGATCCCCAGGGGCGGCTGTGTGGAGCGGGGTTTGCAGAGTAGGGGGGACACAGAATGGGGGAAGATGAATGGGTGTTGGATGCTCACAGCAGCACCACGGAGGTCTGGAGGGATGGGGGAGGCCACAGTGGGCAGGGGACCCCTCCCCTCCCTTCTTCAAGAACTCCCTTCTGTCACCCATGGCCAGAAATGCAACAGTAATGTCTCCTCACCACCTTTATTTTTTTTTATTTTTTTGGGTCCGGTTGTGGGGCCTGAACTCTGGGCCTGGGCTCTGTCCCTCAGCTCTTCAGCTCAAGGCTAGTGCTTTACCACTTGAGCCACAGTACCACTTCTGGCTTTTTTCTTTTTGCTTATGTGGTGCTGAGGAATTGAACCCAGGGCCTCAGGCATGCAAGGCAAGCGCTCTGCCACTGAGCCACCTTTCCAGCCCCTCTTTTTTCTTTTTTGTTGGTTGTGGGACTTGAACTTGGGGCCTGGGTGCTGTCCCTGAGCTCTTTTG